CAGGACGGACTGATTGTGAGGGCATTTCATTAGCCCCGGTTACGGTGGCTCGTACCATAAGATCCGCAGGCCGAGACAGAATGGTCAATTTATGTCGCAATAAATAATCCATTTCAAGTTAATTCTCCCATAAACCCCCTGCCTGTGATTACGCAGACCCTTCACGTACATAAATTTGTCGCAGAGTAATTTTTCTTCGTCCAACAACATCCGTTGGAACTGACTGCATGACCTAACATGGGTCAGCACCATAGACTGTATAAAAACAGGTCAACACTCACTGGATGGATGGCCTAAAGCAGCAGCTCTGTTCACAGGTCTGTTCTGATAATGTCACGGACGGCAGGGGAAAGAAGAGCAAAATACAACTAATCATATCATTATGCATAGGATAGGAAAAAGATTACTTTTAAAACAAAACTTATATCTTTTGTTGTTGATGTAAAATGCAGTGCATCCAAATCATACTCTGTCATTTTGACAGGTTTTTATCCTTGAAAACCATGAACAAAGCTATGCAAGGTGAAAGCATACAATAAACATGCTGATAATAAAAGGAGATATTTTGAAGAACGTTGATAACCAAACAGTTTTGGGTCCCATTGACTTCCATAGTATTTTTTTTCCATACCATGGATGTCAAGTGGGACCTGAAACCATCCCGGTTACAAACTATTTCAAACTCTTCAAAATATCAAAAATAAATAAATAAATAAATAAAATAAAATAAAATAAATAAATAAAAGTCACAAAATGTATATATATATATATATATATATATATGTGTGTGTGTGTGTATATATATATATATATATATATAGTGTGTGTGTGTGTATATATGTATATATATATATATATATATATAACATTTTGTATTAATATTATAATAGTATTTTACAGAGGCAGAAAAAAGTTATTGTTATTAAAGCAATGAAATGGATGTAGTCACAGATCGTATTGTGACACTATTGAAACATATTATTGAAAAAGAAATGCAGTGCAGGGACATCTATGTGTTTGTTTTATTGGATATTGAGAAGATTGAGCTATGAGTTACTGTATTAGGGAGAACTATTTTTAGTAGTAATTAAATAGAAATGGCATTTGTTTCATATAGAATGGTCTGTTCCGAGCAAAATGAGCCCTCCCAGTCTCTCTCCTTCAATCACAGGCGATGTTATAACCCAGAACAGAGACGGAGTCGCTGACAGGTTTAGCGAGGTGCCAATCTGCGCAGTTCTGAATATATATATATATATGCATTATGTAGTTTTGCCTCATTTGGTCATTTGGTTACCAGATGTCCATTTGGAGTCTCCAAATGGCTTTTTTGATAAAAACGCCTAGACTTTTTTTTAAATAAAAGCTTACAGAAACTACATTTTTGGGAGTATCATCTTCAAATTTGAATCAAAATATGGTCAGACATTCAGCTTTATCTTTATGGTGTTTTCAGGCCAATAGCATTAAAGCCAAATGAGAAATTTTGACTTGGCAACTAACTAAATTAAAATAAGTTTATATATATATATCTCAGTTAACACTTATATTTCAAGTAACGAAAATTATTTATATGGTTTTAGTTAATATGCACAATAACTTGCACTGATTAATCATGCACAATAAGAGTAGGAACACACAATCAAAAAGTAAAATGTGTCAAATACATTTTATGTTACTTTAAAACTCTCTTTTGCATTAGTGTGGATTTGTGGGCACTAAACATGCTCTCTGTTGCAGTCTGTACCTCTAACGGTGGACATGGGGTCGTCAGCTGTCATTGCAACAGTTCTCTGGAGCAGGTTGTTTACAAAGAGTAACTCTGTATAACTCTATTACTGTAGATTACTGTAATGCTGGGCCCAGTACTGAGCCACGGCATTGAGAAGCACCAACAGACTCTCTCTCTCTTTCCCTGACAGCAGGAATGCTTCACAAAACAGTGCAATAGCATGCTAGTTTGGACTGGCTCCAGGTTTGCTCTCTATCCAGTGACCAACAGCCAAAGGAAGATGAGGGGAGTTTTCAGGTCAGGTAACCTGCTTGAAAACAGTCATTATTTATTTGTTATTTTTAAATTTGGTGATGCAGGAATTACATACTTTAACCTTGAAGTAAATATAGTCAGTTTTGACTTCAGAGCAGTGTGAAAACATGATATTCTTACTAAGTATTTTTGTCTTGTTTTCTCGTAAAAATATTTTAATATTCTTAAATCAAAATACATTTTCTTGAGAAGCAAAATGACTTATCAAGACTTGTTTTTTTGAAAAATGTATCAAAATTATGTGAATTTATGCCTAAAACACACACAAAAAACGCCAATTTCAAGAAAATCAACTTAATTTACAATTACATTTACATTACATTTAGTCATTTAGCAGACACAATAGAAAAAGGCCTTTTTTGCTTTTGTTAATTGTATAATAAATAAAAAGAAAGACAAATAGATAGAATACAAAAAGATTAGAAAAGCTAGTGTGTTTTTATAAGAAAACAAGCAGTAAATGAATAATGAGTAAATGAGTGCAAGTTTTTTTTTTTTAAAGAATAGAGTTAGAATAGAGAGTGCTAGAGTTAGAGGGTCAAATAAAGATGGAAGAGCCGATTTAGCCGATTCTTGAAGATGGCTAAGGACTCAGCTGCTCGGATTGAGTTGGGCAGGTCATTCCACCAGGAGAGAACATTTAATTTAAAAGTCTTGTGAAAGTGATTTTGTGCCTCTTTGGGATGACACAATAAAGCGCTGTTCACTTGCAGAACGCAAGCTTCTAGAGGGCACATAAGTCTGAAGTAATGGATTTAGGTAAAGGGGTGCAGAGCTAGTGGTGGTAATTTAATGGGAATACAAGATTTGTTTCTTGTTTTAAGAAAAAAATTTTTGCTAAATATTTCTAAGACAAAACTTAAAGGAATAGTTCACCCTAAAATTAAAATTAGCAAAAAATGACTCAACCTTTAGGCCATCCAAGATATAGATGAGTTTGTGTTCATTGCAATAGATTTGGAGAAATGTAGCATTGCATCACTTGTTCACCAATGGATCCTCTGCAGTGAATGGGTGCCGTCAAAGTGAGAGTCCAAACAGCTGATAAAAACATCACAATAATCCATAAATAGTCCACATAACTCCAGTCCATCAATTAATGTCTTAGATAATGTTCAGAACCGTTTTCGCTTGTAAACCGTGCTTAATATGTGCATATTTCTATCCTGATTAAGATTAGACTTTTTCACGGGAGAAAACAATATTAAGGATAGAGGACTCGTATTTTAGCTGGAAGCAATGGTTTTAAGTTAAAAACGTCTTAATAATGAATTAGTTTTATTACAAACATGCAGCTTTTCACTTCACAAGACTTTAATTGATGGACTGGAGTCATGTGGATTATTGTGATGTTTTTATCAGCTGTTTGGACTCTCGTTCTGACGGCACCCATTCACTCCAGAGGATCCATTGGTGAGCAAGTGATGTAAGGCTACATTTCTCCAAATCTGTTCTGATTAAGAAACAAACTCATCCACATTTTGAATGGCCTGAAGGTGAGTACATTTTAATATCTTAAAGGGGTCATATGATGCGATTTTCAATTTTTCCTTTCTCTTTGGAGTGTTACAAGCTCTTGGTGCATAAAGAAGATCTGTAAAGTTGCAAAGACTAAAGTCTCAAATCCAAAGAGATATTCTTTATAAAAGTTAAGAGTCAACCACGCCTACCTAAAACGGCTCGTTCTAACACGCCCCCACATACCTACGTCACGATCTGGGAAGATTTGCATAAAGCCGCCCAAATGTCCACCCAAAGAAAGAAGGCGTAACTTTTATTCACGTTGTAGTTTTGTTGTTTCCGCTGCCATGTTAACATTTCCGTCACATGCTTGAGGTATTCGGCCAATCACAACGCTCTGGATAGCTGGCCAATCAGAGCACACCTCGCTTTTTCAGATCGATGAGCTTTGTAAAAATCGACGCGTTTCAGAAAGGCGGGGCATAGAGGAGAAACAATAATGTACAGTATGTGGAAAATAATGTGTTTTTTGAACCTTAAACCGCATAAACACATTTCATTACACCAAATACACAAAATAATGTTCTTTTTAGCAGCATCATATGACCCCTTTAAATCATTTTGCTTCTCAAGTAAATGTATCCTGCTTTTAAGTATGTGTAAATAAAAATAAATACGTCACACCGAGTTAAGATTAAACATCTTTACTTGCACCGAAAGTACAGTGAAGAAATATTCTTGTTTGTCTTGGAAGACAAAGTGTCTATTGATGTCATTAACAATACATATATTAATGGTCATGTCTTCAGCTAGATGTAAACCGAGTTATAGACTGATAATGGATTCACGGTGGATTCTGAATCATTATGTACAGTTTGTACAATAATAGCCATTTTAATTGCATGACACTTGCAAATGCAACTTCTTGCTAGGAATGACACTTAAGATCAAGCATATCTACGAGAGAACAGAACTACAGAAATTATCATGTAAAAAGCTTTTTTTCATTTTTAAATGAACATCATTCAGAAAGCCCAACAGCTTGTTTTCGTCGTCCGCGATAATGTTACACTCCTAGTCTTGGATCATCTCGACGTCTCTGTGCTTCTGCCAAAGGATTCTCTCTCCCCCCCAGCACTGTTCATTGTTCTTCAGAAGAACGTTTAAACCTCCTGAGGGGGAAATTCAGCGCAGCTGCAGTTTGTGACGAGAGCGCGTTTGTTGCTTTTGTACGTAGAGAGCTCAATGGAGCGCTGCGTCATGTCAAAGCACACTGGCATCTCCGTGGCTCTCCACCTCAACGCCGCTAGAAAAATACTCCTCCCTCCCATTCATTCCTTCTCTCTTTGATGGGCAAACGCTGCCCGACACTCGCCACCCTTTCCCAACAAGTATACACAGCAATGTCAAACCAACATTTTGTTTGTGCAAAGGCAACATTTTGCTTATGAGAATATAACAACAATAAAACATAAAGCAACAACTAAAAAAAAAACAGTCTCAGCCAAAAATGAAAAACAAACAAACAAAAGTACAATAGTGCAATTTTTCAGTTTTTGAACCCCCTCTCCTCTTTGGCTTGTCCGTGTGGTTTTTCTCAAGGACAGTTAGTGGCGGCTCCGTCTCGTGTTGCTCCTGCCTGAGTTTGCTCGGCTCTGCTCACGCAAAAGCTGGTCCCAGCGCTGGCACACACACAGAAAAACATTAGTCACTTCCCATTGCCCTCTGCATCAGGGGCCTCTTTCCATATGCTCATTCAAAGGTTCTACAGTCTTAGATTTAATGTCAGCAGGTCAAAGCCATACAGCACAGAAATTAATGACATTTTTATTCTATGCCAAAGTTTGCAGAAGAAAAACATATATTCTTGCTAAATATTATGCCTATAAAAACTCTAAATATATGAAATAAAAAATAAACATCTATCTATCTATCTATCTACGTCTATCTATCTATCTATCTATCTGTCTATCTACGTCTATCTATCTATCTATCTATCTACGTCTATCTATCTATCTATCTATCTGTCTATCTACGTCTATCTATCTATCTATCTATCTACGTCTATCTATCTATCTATCTATCTACCTATCTATTATCTATCTATATCCATCCATCCATCTATTATATATAGATATATCTATCTGCTATATAGATATATAAAAACATATATACACAATAAATAAATAGATAAATGTTTATATATCTATATATTGACAATTTTTATATATTGTATATGTTTGTGTGTGTATATATATATATATATATATATATATATATATATGAGTGTG